GTTCTGGACTACCAAGAAATGTATTGGTGAATTATACACTGATCAAAAATATCAACGCAACATGCAACAATTTCAAAGATTTTACTGAGTTATCAAATAAAATCAAATCAAATGTTATTGGCCACATGCGCCGAATACAACAGGTGCAGACATTACAGTGAAATGCTTACTTACAGCCCTTAACCAACAGTGCATTTATTTTTTTATAAAAAAAAGTAAAATAAAACAACAACAAAAAAAGTGTTGAGAAAAAAAGAGCAGAAGTCAAATAAAATAACAGTAGGGAGGCTATATATACAGTAAAATAAAGTGACAGTAGGGAGGCTATATATACAGGGGGGTACCGGTGCAGAGTCAATGTGCGGGAGCACCGGCTAGTCGAGGTGGTTGAGGTAATATGTACATGTGGGTAGAGTTAAAGTGACTATGCATAAATAATTAACAGAGTAGCAGCAGCGTAAAAAGATGGGGTGGGGGGGCAGTGCAAATAGTTCGGGTAGCCATGATTAGCTGTTCAGGAGTCTTATGGCTTGGGGGTAGAAGCTGTTGAGAAGTCTTTTGGACCTAGACTTGGCACTCCGGTACCGCTTGCCGTGCGGTAGCAGAGAGAACAGTCTATGACTAGGGTGGCTGGAGTCTTTGACAATTTTGAGGGCCTTCCTCTGACACCGCCTGGTATATAGGTCCTGGATGGCAGGAAGCTTGGCCCCAGTGATGTACTGGGCCGTACGCACTACCCTCTGTAGTGCCTTGCGGTCGGAGGCCGAGCAGTTGCCATACCAGGCGGTGATGCAACCAGTCAGGATGCTCTCGATGGTGCAGCTGTATCATTTTTTGTTATAGTTCATAAAAGGAAATCAGTCAATTTGAAATAAATTCATTAGGCCCTAATTTATGGATTTCACATTACTTGGAATACAGATATGCATTTGTTGGTCACAGATACCTTTAAAAGAGTGTTGTCCCACTCCTCTTCAATGGATGTGCGAAATTGCTGGATATTGGTGGGAACTAGAACACGATGTCGTACACGTCAATCCAGAGCATCCCAAACATGCTCATTGGGTGACATGTCTGGTGAGTATGCAGGCCATTGAAGAACTGGGACATTTTCAGCTTCCAGGAGTTGTGTCCAGATCCTTGCGGCGTGGGGCCGTGCGTTATCATGCTGAAACAGGCACAATGGGCCTCAGGAACCCTCCTCACGGTATCTCTGTGCATTCCAATTGCCATCAATAAAATGCAATTGTGTTCATTGTCCGTAGCTTATGCCTGCCCATACCATAACCACACCGCCATCATGGGGCACTCTGTTCACAACGTTGACATCAGCAAACCGCTCGCCAAGAGTGTGCAAAGCTGTCATCAAGGCAAAGAGTGGATATTTGAAGAATCTCAAATCTGAAATATATTTTGATTTGTTGAACACTTTTTTGGTTACTACATGATTCCATATGTATTATTTCAGAGTTTTGATGTCTTCACTATTATTCTACAATGTAGAAAATAGTAAAAATAAAGAAAAACCCTGGAATGAGGAGGTGTGTCCAAACTTTTGACTGGTAGTGTATATTAGTGCCCACTACTATCATTGATCAGTTACAGGTTCAGAGATACTAACTACAGCATTTCAACTCCACAGAGACAGAAAGGACACACACACATTATAACAGAATTTAATTGTTTTACCATCACAAAACAAAACAAAACAAAGGTTTTTATGTTTTCTTGTTTGCCATCTCATGGTGCCTGGTCGTTCCTTTGGGGGATATGTTCTGCAGGTCAGGGTTATAGTAACGGGTTAAGGCTGACTCCCTATAACACATCTGGCTGCAGATATCCAGAAGAAACGATCTATTACCTTAAAAGATGAGGTTTGTTACAGTTAACTTTACTATGACTCTGTTGTTGCTTTGTGAATCCAGACAATAAGGGTGTCCTGTCAGACTGTTCAACCATATTATACAGCTATTCTACTACAGCTGGTCTGTTATTGTACAACAACAAATACAACATTGGTCGTCAAACTAAAGTATTTCCTAAATAAACAGACAGCATTTCGATTTAAACTACACACACATACACACACAGCTCAATGAAGTCAAAAAGTACCAAACTCCTTAGAAATGTTGATCCGTGTTGTTGATGGAAATGGAGGACATGCTGTAAACCAGTGTTTCCCAACTCCAGTCCTCCAGTACCCCAACAGCCCAACTCCAGTCCTCCAGTACCCCCAACAGCCCAACTCCAGTCCTCCAGTATCCCCAACAGCCCAACTCCAGTCCTCCAGTACCCCCAACAGCCCAACTCCAGTACCCCCAACAGCCCAACTCCAGTCCTCCAGTATCCCCCAACAGCCCAACTCCAGTCCTCCAGTACCCCCAACAGCCCAACTCCAGTCCTCCAGTACCCCAACAGCCCAACTCCAGTCCTCCAGTACCCCCAACAGCCCAACTCCAGTCCTCCAGTATCCCCCAACAGCCCAACTCCAGTCCTCCAGTACCCCCAACAGCCCAACTCCAGTCCTCCAGTATCCCCCAACAGCCCAACTCCAGTCCTCCAGTACCCCCAACAGCCCAACTCCAGTCCTCCAGTACCCCCAACAGCCCAACTCCAGTCCTCCAGTACCCCAACAGCCCAACTCCAGTCCTCCAGTACCCCCAACAGCCCAACTCCAGTCCTCCAGTATCCCCAACAGCCCAACTCCAGTCCTCCAGTACCCCCCAACAGCCCAACTCCAGTCCTCCAGTACCCCAACAGCCCAACTCCTCCAGTACCCCAACAGCCCAACTCCAGTCCTCAAGTACCCCAACAGCCCAACTCCAGTCCTCCGGTCCCCCCAACAGCCCAACTCCAGTCCTCCAGTACCCCCAACAGCCCAACTCCAGTCCTCCAGTACCCCAACAGCCCAACTCCAGTCCTCCAGTACCCCAACAGCCCAACTCCAGTCCTCCAGTACCCCCAACAGCCCAACTCCAGTCCTCCAGTACCCCCAACAGCCCAACTCCAGTCCTCCAGTACCCCCAACAGCCCAACTCCAGTCCTCCAGTACCCCCAACAGCCCAACTCCAGTCCTCCAGTACCCCAACAGCCCAACTCCAGTCCTCCAGTACCCCAACAGCCCAACTCCAGTCCTCCGGTACCCCAACAGCCCAACTCCAGTACCCCAACAGCCCAACTCCAGTCCTCCAGTACCCCAACAGCCCAACTCCAGTCCTCCAGTACCTCCAACAGCCCAACTCCAGTCCTCCAGTATCCCCCAACAGCCCAACTCCAGTCCTGTACTGTTGGGGGGTACTGGAGGACTGGAGTTGGGCTGTTGGGGTACTGGAGGACTGGAGTTGGGCTGTTGGAGGTACTGGAGGACTGGAGTTGGGCTGTTGGGGTACTGGAGGACTGGAGTTGGGCTGTTGGAGGTACTGGAGGACTGGAGTTGGGAAACACTGCTGTAAACAATACATCAGGATTTTAAAAATAGAGCAAAATATAAAAATGTCTAAACTCACATTTTCACATAATTTTAGAAAAAAAATAGTTTCTTACATTGTCATGGCAACAGACAACCAAGACATGATTTAATAGAATCAATATCTAGAACACAGCTCAACTTGAAAAGGAGAGACAGAACACAAACAAGACAGGATTTAATATAATCACTATCTAGAACAGAGCTCTACTGGAAAAGAAGAGACTGAACACAAACAAGACAGGATTTAATATAATCACTATCTAGAACACAGCTCTACTGGAAAAGAAGAGACTGAACACAAACAAGACAGGATTTAATATAATCACTATCTAGAACACAGCTCTACTGGAAAAGAAGAGACTGAACACAAACAAGACAGGATTTAATAGAATCAATATCTACTGGAAAAGGAGAGCTTCAGCTCAAACAAGACAGGATTTAATATAATCAATATCTACTGAAAAAGGAGAGCTTCAGCTCAAACAAGACAGGATTTAATAAAATCAGTATCTAGAACACAGCTCAACTTGAAAAGGAGAGACAGAACACAAACAAGACAGGATTTAATATAATCACTATCTAGAACACAGCTCTACTGGAAAAGAAGAGACTGAACACAAACAAGACAGGATTTAATAGAATCACTATCTAGAGCACATCTCTACTGGAAAAGGAGAGACAGAACACAAACAAGAGGGGATTTAATATAATCAATATCTACTGGAAAAGGAGAGCTTCAACTCAAACAAGACAGGATTTAATAGAATCAGTATCTAGAACACAGCTCAACTTGAAAAGGAGAGACAGAACACAAACAAGACAGGATTTAATATAATCAGTATCTAGAATGGAGGGGATTCTGAACCACATTCAGTGTCATGACCAGGTGAAAGGTAAAGAGCAAAGAGGAAATGTTCCAATTCAAACACAGAGCTGCCGGAGATGGAAGTTCTTATCACAAAATGGAATGGAACAAGGAAAATGGAACGTTGGTTCTGAATCGTACAATAGCAGTACATTGAAACCTTAGCCGTCTTGAATTCCAACCCAAATGCCAACCCAATGCCCATAACAATACCTTTCCTGAATAGTTTGTTTTGAAATCAAAGCACATATTCTTTATTTTCATTTCAAATCATTTAAACACAAATCAAACATACCAAATAAAGAGTGATGTCTCCTCCACGAATGGGACGGCATTTTAAGGTGTACAGAAGAAAAACACAATTTCAAACAATGTAAAATGGTGACATGTCTTGATGAGGGTACCACGCGTTCTTCACATCGCCTTGTGAACAGAAAACCCAGCCCCTATTCTGTCACACACGGCTCACATCACCATGGGAACAGAAAACCCAGCCCCTATTCTGTCACACACGGCTCACATCACCATGGGAACAGAAAACCCAGCCCCTATTCTGTCACACACGGCTCACATCGCATGTGAAAGTCTCTCTCCCAACTGGACCAACCTATATGTACAGACAGCTTTATTTGGCCGTGACGCTGTAAAGGTTTGCAAAATTCCGCTAACTTTCCCCAAATTCCCACGTTTAAGCAGGAAATCCGGGAATCCTCCAACCAAGATTTATTGAAAACCTGGGAATTTTGGAAAGCTACAGGAATCTTGCAAACCCTTGATGCTGTAGATGTTTGGCTGTTTTCACTCCAGGATCTTCTCCCGTGTGTCGGGCAGTTTAGTGGCCAGCAGGCCTCCACAGACCAGCGCTGCGAATGCCAGGAAAATGGGGATGATCTTTGTGATGCCGATGAACTTGGCAAAGATGACGCTGCCAATGATGGCTGCCAGCTTACAGGTACCGTTCAGCACTCCGAACGCTGTGCATCTGAGGAAGAGAGAGGAAGAGTCATCAGTGGGGTTTAAGACGGGTGCTTTAAGGACAGTTTACAACAGTGGTTCTCAACTGGTGGGTCGGGAGGTTTTGAATGGCTCACAGGTGTCTGAGTAAAAACAACCTGGATCAGTTTGAAACAACCTAAATCCCTCATCGTGAACACCCCAGACATCAGTCTGATATCAGGACATTGACATGGGGATTGGGATTGTGGTTCTCTGTACCTTTTATCAGAAGGGTAGATTTCTACTGTGATAACCTCCAGTCCGTTCCAGGCAGCGACGCTGGTAGCGTAGAAGAGGCACTGAAATAATATAACTGCCCCCTGACTGAAGCTGAGTAGCAGGAGGAACGTACAAGCTGCTGATATTAGCATAGAACCACCTGGAGGGGGGGGAGAGGGGGGGAGACAGAGGAGAGAGAGAGAGAGAGATAGAGGAGAGAAGAGAGAGAGGAGAGCAGAGAGGTAGATAAGATATGCTCTCGCACTCTCTCTCTCTCTCTCTCTAGCCTCTCTCTCGCTCTCTCTACTTCTCTCTCTTCCTCTCCTACTCTCCTTTTCTCCCTCTCTTTCTCCTCTCTTCGACGCTCTCTCTCTTCTCCTCTCTCCTCTCTCTCTCTCTCTCTCTTTCATCTCCTCTCTCTCTCCTTCTCTCCTCGCTCGCTCTCTCTGCTCTCTCTACTCTCTCTCTCTCTCTCTCTTTTCTCTCTCTCTTTCGTCTCTCTCTCTCTTTTCCCCTCTCTCTCTCTCTCTCTCTCTCTCTCTCCTCTCTCTCTCTCTCTCTCTCTCTCTCTTCTCTCTCTCTCTCTCTCCTTCCTTCTCTCTCGCTCTCTCTCTCTCTCTCTTTTCTCTCTTCTCTCTCTCTCTCTCTCTTTTCTTTTCGTTTTCTTTCTTCTCTCGGCTCTCTTTTCTCCTCGCTTTTAGCTACCCCGTCCTCTCTACTGCTCTCTCTCTCCTTCCTTGTCTTTCTCTCTCTCTCTCTCTCTCCTCTCTCTCTCCTGCGTCTCGCTCTCTCCCTCTTTTCCTCCTGCTCGTCTCTCTCTCCTTCTCTTTCCTCCTCGTCTTTCTTTCTTTCTCTACTCGTCTCTCTACATCCTCAGACCTCTTTTCTCCCCCTCTGCTTGGCTCTACTCTCCGTGTTCTCTCTCTCTCTCTCTTTCTCTCTTCTCTCTCTCTCTTTCTCTCTCTTCTCTCTCTCTCTCTCTCTCCCATCATTTCTCTCTCTTCTACTCTCTCTCTCTCTCATCTCTCTCGTCTACTCTCTTCTCTAACTACTACTCTGACGCTCTTCTCGGATCTGGCAGTGGTCATGCGGAGGGCCATGACCTTGGCATTCTCTGCTCGTTTCTCATACGTCTTAGGGCATACTTTTTCTGCGACCCGCCGTCCTCTCTACTCTCTCTCTAGGGTCCTTCTAGGCTCTAGTACTGCTTCTCTTGCTCTGATGTGGCCTCTTCGTCGGTCTCGTCTACTTACTCTCTCATCTCTGCTCTCTGCTGCAGTCTCTCTTCTCTCTCTCTCACCGATATCTCTCTCGATCTCTCTCTCTCTCTCTCTCCCTCTGCTCTTCGTCGTAAGTCTTCTCTCATCTCTCTCTGCTTACATTGGGCGGACGATCCTGGGATTGGAGTTCTGTGAGGGATTTTCTTATTCTTATCTCTCCCGTTCCTCTCCTTTTCTCCCCTCGTCTTTTGCTCCCGGTCTCTTCTCAACTTCTGCATACTACGTAGACTGCTCTACTCTGGGGGCTCTCGTCTCTCAATCTGAGTGGTCTTTGATGTTGGAGTGTCTTATGTCTTTCTCTGGGTTCTCGTCTCGGTGGTCTCTCTCGGTGTGTTACTCTCTAGCAATCTCTCTCTCGTCCCGACCTCTCCTTTTTTACTCCCTCTGATGAGTCTGCTCTGGCTCTGCTCCTAACATCGTCTGGTCTCTCGGCATTCTTGTCCTTGTTTTTGCTTGCGAGATAATAAAAGACATCTAGATGCTCAGTAAGCGGTGCAGGGTGCTCGTCCTCCCTATGCTTTTCCTTATACCGGTCTATTTCGTCCCATAGCATCTTCTCTCTCCTCTTCTCCTGATCTCTCGTCCTCTCTTACTCTCTCTATGATTTCTGTACTTTGCCTCGGTTTCCCCCTCTCCTCTAGGCTTCCTCTCACATGCCATATGCGTTCCCCTATTCATCTTCTCTTATCCTTCTTCTGCCATCTTTTTCAGTTTGTTTTGTACCATTGACTACTCCCCATGGAGCTACGTACGTGTCTACACTTTCCTCACCTATAATCTTTATCCTTCCTATCTTGTCCATGAAGAGGGCTGACAGGATGTTGCCCGGCAGGGTTGCTAGGCTCCCCAGAAAGCTGACCATGTAGATGACCATGTCATTCTCCTCCTGGAAGTTTAGATGGCAGCCTTTCTTCGGATGGAGGAACGTTGCATTCTCCATCCGACAGTCTTTAAACTTGGAGTCTTCCCAAAGGTCTGCCAATCACAGAGACAAGGAAAATCCAAAATGAGATCATAGGGGATCTGTGAGTGGTCTGTTCAATGTCCACATCACATATACAGTGCATTCGAAAAGTATTCAGACCCCTTAACTTTTTCCACATTTTGTTACGGTACAGCCTTATTCTAAAATTGATTAAATTGTTTTTTCCACTCATCAATCTAAATCAAATCAAATCAAATTTTATTGGTCACATACCCGTGTTTAGCAGATGTTATAGCGGGTGTAGCGAAATGCTTGTGCTTCTAGCTCCGACAGTGCAGTAATATCTAACAAGTAATATCTAACCATTTTACAACATATACCCAATACAAATCTAAGTAAGGAATGAATTAAGAATATATACAGTTCCAATCAAACGTTTGCTTCCTTCAAAGGTTTTTCTTTATTTGTTCAACTTTTTACATTTACATTTACGTCATTTAGCAGACGCTCTTATCCAGAGCTACTTACAAATAGGTGCATTCAACTTATTATAGCCAGTGGGATAACCACTTTACAATATTCTTATTTTTTATTTTTTATATTTGTTATAATTTTCATTTGTTTTATATACATATATTTAAAAAAAAAAATTGTGGGGGTGGGGTGGGGGGGTAGAATGATTACTTTTATACTATCCCAGATATTCCTTAAAGAGTCTCCGTAAGGTGGTCAGTGACTCCGCTGTCCTGGCGTCGTGAGGGAGCTTGTTCCACCATTGGGGTGCCAGAGCAGCGAACAGTTTTGACTGGGCTGAGCGGTAGCTGTGCTTCCGTAGAGGTAGGGGGACCAGCAGGCCAGAGATGGATGAACGCAATGCCCTCGTTTGGGTGTAGGGACTGATCAGAGCCTGAAGGTAAGGAGGTGCCGTTCCCCTCACAGCTCCGTAGGCAAGCACCATGGTCTTGTAGCAGATGCGAGCTTCAACTGGAAGCCAGTGGAGTGTGCGGAGGAGCGGGGTGACGTGAGAGAACTTGGGAAGGTTGAACACCAGACGGGCTGCGGCATTCTGGATGAGTTGTAGGGGTTTAATGGCACAGGCAGGGAGCCCAGCCAACAGCGAGTTGCAGTAATCCAGACGGGAGATGACAAGTGCCTGGATTAGGACCTGTGCCGCTTCCTGTGTAAGGTAGGGTCGTACTCTGCGAATGTTGTAGAGCATGAACCTACAGGATCGGGTCACCGCTTTGATGTTAGCGGAGAACGACAGGGTGTTGTCCAGGGTCACACCAAGGCTCTTTGCACTCTGGGAGGAGGACACAACGGAGTTGTCAACCGTGATGGCGAAATCATGGAGCGGGCAGTCCTTCCCCGGGAGGAAGAGCAGCTCCGTCTTGCCGAGGTTTATTTTACATTGTAGATTAATAGTGAAGACATCAAAACTATGAAATAACACATATGGAATCATGTAGTAACCAAAAAAGTGTTAAACAAATCAACATTTATTTTATATTTGAGATTCTTCAAATATCCACTCTTTGCCTTGATGACAGCTTTGCACACTCTTGGCATCCCGTAGGGATTTTGTTTTTCATGGTCTGAGAGTCCTTTAGGTGCCTTTTGGTAAACTCCAAGCGGGCTGTTATGTGCCTTTTACTGAGGAGTGGCTTCCGTCTGGCCACTCTACCATAAAGGCCTGATTGGTGGAGTGCTGCAGAGATGGTTGTCCTTCTGGAAGGTTCTCCCATCTCCATAGAGGAACTCTGGAGCTCTGTCAGAGTGAACATCGGGTTCTCGGTCACCTCCCTGACCAAGGTCCTTCTCCCCCGATTGCTCAGTTTGGCCGGGCGGCCAGCTCTAGGAAGTGTCTTGGTGGTTCCAAACTTCTTCCATTTAAGAATGATGGAGGCCACTGTGTTCTTGGGGACCTTCAATGCTGCAGAAATGTTTTGGTACCCTTCCCCAGATCTGTGCCTCGACACAATCATGTTTCGGAGCTCTGCGGACAATTCCTTTAACCTCATGGCTTGGTTTTTGATCTGACATGCACTGTCAACTTTGGGACCTTATATACAGTGGGGAGAACAAGTATTTGATACACTGCCGATTTTGCAGCTTTTCCTACTTACAAAGCATGTAGAGGTCTGTAATTTTTATCATAGGTACACTTCAACTGTGAGAGACGGAATCTAAAACAAAAATCCAGAAAATCACATTGTATGATTTTTAAGTAATTCATTTGCATTTTATTGCATGACATAAGTATTTGATCACCTACCAACCAGTAAGAATTCCGGCTCTCACAGACCTGTTAGTTTTTCTTTAAGAAGCCCTCCTGTTCTCCACTCATTACCTGTATTAACTGCACCTGTTTGAACTCGTTACCTGTATAAAAGACACCTGTCCACACACTCAATCAAACAGACTCCAACCTCTCCACAATGGCCAAGACCAGAGAGCTGTGTAAGGACATCAGGGATAAAATTGTAGACCTGCACAGGGCTGGGATGGGCTACAGGACAATAGGCAAGCAGCTTGGTGAGAAGGCAACAACTGTTGGCGCAATTATTAGAAAATGGAAGAAGTTCAAGATGACGGTCAATCACCCTCGGTCTGGGGCTCCATGCAAGATCTAATCTCGTGGGGCATCAATGATCATGAGGAAGGTGAGGGATCAGCCCAGAACTACACGGCAGGACCTGGTCAATGACCTGAAGAGAGCTGGGAACACAGTCTCAAAGAAAACCATTAGTAACACACTACGCCGTCATGGATTAAAATCCTGCAGCGCACGCAAGGTCCCCCTGCTCAAGCCAGCGCATGTCCAGGCCCGTCTGAAGTTTGCCAATGACCATCCAGAGGAGGAATGGGAGAAGGTCATGTGGTCTGATGAGACAAAAATAGAGCTTTTTGGTCTAAACTCCACTCGCCGTTTTTGGAGGAAGAAGAAGGATGAGTACAACCCCAAGAACACCATCCCAACTGTGAAGCATGGAGGTGGAAACATCATTCTTTGGGGATGCTTTTCTGCAAAGGGGACAGGACGACTGCACCGTATTGAGGGGAGGATGGATGGGCCCATGTATCGCGAGATCATGGCCAACAACCTCCTTCCCTCAGTAAGAGCATTGAAGATGGGTCATGGCTGGGTCTTCCAGCATGACAACGACCCGAAACACACAGCCAGGGCAACTAAGGAGTGGCTCCGTAAGAAGCATCTCAAGGTCCTGGAGTGGCCTAGCCAGTCTCCAGACCTGAACCCAATAGAACATCTTTGGAGGGAGCTGAAAGTCCATATTGCCCAGCGACAGCCCCGAAACCTGAAGGATCTGGAGAAGGTCTGTATGGAGGAGTGGGCCAAAATCCCTGCTGCAGTGTGTGCAAACCTGGTCAAGACCTACAGGAAACATATGATCTCTGTAATTGCAAACAATGGTTTCTGTACCAAATATTAAGTTCTGCTTTTCTGATGTATCAAATACTTATGTCATGCAATAAAATGCAAATTAATTACTTAAAAATCATACAATGATTGATTTTCTGGATTTTTGTTTTAGATTCCGTCTCTCACAGTTGAAGTGTACCTATGATAAAAATTACAGACCTCTACATGCTTTGTAAGTAGGAAAACCTGCAAAATCAGCAGTGTATCAAATACTTGTTCTCCCCACTGTAGACAGGTGTGTGCCTTTCCAAATCATGTCCAATCAGTTGAATTTTCCACAGGTGGACTCCAATCAAGTTGTAGAAACATTTCAAGGATGATCAATGGAAACAGAATGCACCTGAGCTCAATTTAGAGTCTCATAGCAAAGGATCGGAATTCTTATGTAAATGTATAAAAACCTGTTTCCGCTTTGTCATTATGAGGTATTGTGTGTAGACTGATGAGGATTCTTTTTTTATTTAAGCCATTTTAGAATAAGGCCATAACATAACATAATGTGGAAAAAGTCAAGGGGTCTGAATACTTTCCGAATGCACTGTACATCACATACATAATGCACCTCACACATCCGGATAGTCTCAGAAAGAGGTTCAACGGCTAAGGTGAACAGCAAGGGAGACATCGTACAACCTTGTCTCGTCCCTCTATGGAATCATGGACAAATTGATTGATTTGTGAGAATCCTTGCACAGGGGTTCCACATCAGATATGTGATATCAGATATGATACCTCTGCGGAAGCACAGTTCCCGCTCAGCCCAGTCAAAACTGTTCGCTGCTCTGGCACCCCAATGGTGGAACAAGCTCCCTCACGACGCCAGGACAGCGGAGTCACTGACCACCTTCCGGAGACACTTGAAACCCCACCTCTTTAAGGAATACCTGGGATAGTATAAAAGTAATCCTTATACCGCCCCCCCACCCCACCCCCACGAAAAAAGTGGTTGTCCCACTGGCTATCATAAGGTGAATGCACCAATTTGTAAGTGGCTCTGGATAAGAGTGTCTGCTAAATGACGTAAATGTAAATGTATGACACCTACCTGTGGCGGTCCTCATGAGAGCCTACCTGTGTCACCTACCTGTGGCGGTCCTCATGAGAGCCTACCTGTGTCACCTACCTGTGGCGGTCCTCATGAGAGCCTACCTGTGTCACCTACCTGTGGCGGTCCTCCTGAGAGCCTACCTGTGGCGGTCCTCCTGAGAGCCTACCTGTGTCACCTACCTGTGGCGGTCCTCCTGAGAGCCTACCTGTGGCGGTCCTCCTGAGAGCCTACCTGTGTCACCTACCTGTGGCGGTCCTCATGAGAGCCTACCTGTGTCACCTACCTGTGGCGGTCCTCCTGAGAGCCTACCTGTGGCGGTCCTCCTGAGAGCCTACCTGTGTCACCTACCTGTGGCGGTCCTCCTGAGAGCCTACCTGTGGCGGTCCTCCTGAGAGCCTACCTGTGTCACCTACCTGTGGCGGTCCTCATGAGAGCCTACCTGTGTCACCTACCTGTGGCGGTCCTCCTGAGAGCCTACCTGTGTCACCTACCTGTGGCGGTCCTCATGAGAGCCTACCTGTGTCACCTACCTGTGGCGGTCCTCCTGAGAGCCTACCTGTGTCACCTACCTGTGGCGGTCCTCCTGAGAGCCTACCTGTGTCACCTACCTGTGGCGGTCCTCCTGAGAGCCTACCTGTGTCACCTACCTGTGGCAGTCCTCCTGAGAGCCTACCTGTGGCGGTCCTCATGAGAGCCTACCTGTGTCACCTACCTGTGGCGGTCCTCCTGAGAGCCTACCTGTGGCGGTCCTCCTGAGAGCCTACCTGTGTCACCTACCTGTGGCGGTCCTCCTGAGAGCCTACCTGTGTCACCCACCTGTGGCGGTCCTCCTGAGAGCCTACCTGTGTCACCTACCTGTGGCAGTCCTCCTGAGAGCCTACCTGTGTCACCTACCTGTGTTATAGAAGACTGTGTTCTTGATGGTGCAGTTCTCAAAGTACGTGTTGGTCGACCTGATGTCCTCAAAGTAACAGTTCTCAAACAGGGAATCTTCAAACTTCACAGACTTGATCTCTATATTCATGAACCTAGATAAGAGAGAACAACCCTGCTTCAGTAAAGACATCTGACATCACTGTGACATACTAGTTGTCCAGTCATAATATCCCATATTGTCATCACTGTGACATACTAGTTGTCCAGTCATAATATCCCATATTGTCATCACTGTGACATACTAGTTGTCCAGTCATAATATCCCATATTGTCATCACTGTGACATACTAGTTGTCCAGTCATAATATCCCATATTGTCATCACTGTGCCATACTAGTTGTCCAGTCATAATATCCCATATTGTCATCACTGTGACATACTAGTTGTCCAGTCATAATATCCCATATTGTCATCACTGTGACATACTAGTTGTCCAGTCATAATATCCCATATTGTCATCACTGTGACATACTAGTTGTCCAGTCATAATATCCCATATTGTCATCACTGTGACATGCTAGTTGTCCAGTCATAATATCCCATATTGTCATCACTGTGACATACTAGTTGTCCAGTCATAATATCCCATATTGTCATCACTGTGACATACTTGTCGTGGATGTATTCTCCCTCTTTGTGGATCTGGTTGACCAGGGAGAAGTTGAAGTGGAATCGCTCGACTCGTTCTTGATGGAAGAGTCTCACCTTGGACTCGTACTCCTCATACTGCATGTACTTGATCATGTCAGGGAACCACACCGACAGCCCGTGGTAGCTGAAACACAGAAGGAACAGTCATCCATCACACCGACAGCCCGTGGTAGCTGAAACACAGAAGGAACAGTCATCCACCACACCGACAGCCCGTGGTAGCTGGGACACAGAAGGAACAGTCATCCATCACACCGACAGCCCGTGGTAGCTGGGACACAGAAGGAACAGTCATCTATCACACCGACAGCCCGTGGTAGCTGGGACACAGAAGGAACAGTCATCCATCATGATTGACACATCCATAGAGACTTAACAGTGCTCTCTAGTGGTAGCAAGCAATCATGTTTAAGTTTTAGATATGCAGACGTTCGTGATCTGGATTGCTTTGACTGGATTGGATATCTCCTGTATTGGTTTAGGATCACCTGATGGAATAACAGGGGGGGTTGTTGAATATACTCACAACAAAAGGTTAGTACTATTTGTTTACCTGAAGGCCATGGTGAACCAGATGATAGCCAGGAACAGACCCTGCAGTCTGAGGTCTGGTGCTGCCAGGGACATCACGTTCTGCATTACCTGGAAACATGGAGGCAACAGCACCAACAAGTCATCCTCCTGGTTCAGATACACTCTTATGAGCAGTGCTATTGACGGTTTTCAACACTCTTATGAGCAGTGTTATTGACGGTTTTCAACACTCTTATGAGCAGTGCTATTGACGGTTTTCAACACTCTTATGAGCAGTGCTATTGACGGTTTTCAACACTCTTATGAGCAGTGCTATTGACGGTTTTCAACACTCTTATGAGCAGTGCTATTGACGGTTTTCAACACTCTTATGAGCAGTGCTATTGACGGTTTTCAACACTCTTATGAGCAGTGCTATTGACGGTTTTCAACACTCTTATGAGCAGTGTTATTGACAGTTTTCAACACTCTTATGAGCAGTGTTATTGACAGTTTTCAACACTCTTATGAGCAGTGTTATTGACAGTTTTCAACACTCTTATGAGCAGTGCTATTGACAGTTTTCAACACTCTTATGAGCAGTGTTATTGACAGTTTTCAACACTCTTATGAGCAGTGTTATTGACAGTTTTCAACACTCTTATGAGCAGTGTTATTGACAGTTTTCAACACTCTTATGAGCAGTGCTATTGACAGTTTTCAACACTCTTATGAGCAGTGCTATTGACGGTTTTCAAAAACTTTAGAACATTTTGAATCATGTCAAGAATATGTATTGTAGCAATCTGAATTCAACACCTAGTGTCCTAATAGGGGTTAGGATCTCTTGGGGTAATGGCTAAGGGGTTGGGTTGACTGAGGATCTCTTGGGGTAATGGCTAAGGGGTTGGGTTGACTGAGGATCTCTTGGGGTAATGGCTAAGGGGTTGGGTTGACTGAGGATCTCTTGGGGTAATGGCTAAGGGGTTGGGTTGACTGAGGATCTCTTGGGGTAATGGCTAAGGGGTTGGGTTGACTGAGGATCTCTTGGGGTAATGGCTAAGGGGTTGGGTTGACTGAGGATCTCTTGGGGTAATGGCTAAGGGGTTGGGTTGACTGAGGATCTCTTGGGGTAATGGCTAAGGGGTTGGGTTGACTGTCGCTGGACACCGATCCGACTCTCGGTCGGGGCTCCGCCCTGAATTCACTACTATATGTTACCTGTTTGAGCAGGTTGGTGTGTCTATATGTTACCTGTTTGAGCAGGTTGGTGTGTCTGACGGTCCAGCGCTGGAAGGCTGTTCCAGTGTCACTCTGGATCTCAATGAACTCATCCTCCTGGGTCTTAGGAGTCGCGATGTTGGACACCTGACAGGAGGGATTATATAACATCACATTGATATAGAACTAATAGTGATAACATCACATTGATATAGAACTAATAGTGATTATATAACATCACATTGATATAGAACTAATAGTGATTATATAACATCACATTGATATAGAACTAATAGTGATTATTTAACATCACATTGATATAGAACTAATAGTGATTATATAACATCACATTGATATAGAACTAATAGTGATTATATAACATCACATTGATATAGAACTAATAGTGATTATTTAACATCACATTGATATAGAACTAATAGTGATTATATAACATCACATTGATATAGAACTAATAGTGATTATATAACATCACATTGATATAGAACTAATAGTGATTATATAACATCACATTGATATAGAACTAATAGTGATTATATAACATCACATTGATATAGAACTAATAGTGATTATTTAACATCACATTGATATAGAACTAATAGTGATTATATAACATCACATTGATATAGAACTAATAGTGATTATATAACATCACATTGATATAGAACTAATAGTGGTTATATAACATCACATTGATATAGAACTAATAGTGATTATTTAACATCACATTGATATAGAACTAATAGTGATTATATAACATCACATTGATATAGAACTAATAGTGATTATATAACATCACATTGATATAGAACTAATAGTGATTATATAACATCACATTGATATAGAACTAATAGTGATTCTGGTCCTTATGACTGTAGGGTACTAGATGAGAGTAGAGTTGTACTCACGGTGAACACCCTCTCTGGTTCTCCCTTGGCCTTCCAGTTGGTATCATGGACCTGCCTCAGAATCATCCAGGCCTCGTCATGTCTCCCATTCTGACAGAGACAGACAGAAACAGCTGTCAGCCTATCACATGCAGCTACTGGAATATACAATGCCATAGAAAGGTAAACTCTTAGAAAAAAAGGTGCTATCTAGAACCTAAAAGGGTTCTTCGGCTGTCCCCATAGGAGAAACCCTTTTGGTTCCAGGTAGAACCCTTTTTGGTTCCAGGTAGAACCCTTTTTGGTTCCAGGTAGAACCATTTTGGTTCCAGGTAGAACTCTTTTGGTTCCAGGTAGAACCATTTTGGTTCCAGGTAGAACCCTTTTCACAGAGGATTCCACATGGAACCCAAAAGAGTTCTACCTGGACCAAAAAGGGTTCTCCTATGGGGTAAAAAAAAGTTTAATACTGTACACACACGCATGCACGCACACACTAAGACACACACACACACACACACACACACAAACACACACATTTTCTGTTACCTGAAGGAGGAAGCGTGGGCTTTCTGGCATGAAGACCAGTCCGACGAGGGCAATAATGGCTGGAAACATACAGACCAGGATGAATACTCTCCATCCGTGGATCTGGTACTCAGTCCCCAGGCTGAAGCCCCAGCCTGCAACAACAACAACATACATCAACAACAATAATAATAATCATCACCATCACCATCAGCATCACCATCACCATCACCACCACCATCACCATCACCATCATCACCATCATCATCATTACCATCATCATCATTACCATCATCACCATCACCATCATTACCATCATCATCATTACCATCATCATCATTACCATCACCACCACCATCACCATCACCATCATCACCATCATCATCATTACCATCATTACCATTACCATCACCATCATTACCATCACCATCACCACCATCACCATCACCATCACCATCATTACCATCACCATCACCATCATCACCATCACCATCACCATCACCATCATTACCATCACCAACACCATCATCACCATCATCATCATCATCATCATCACCATCACCATCATCATTACCATCATCATCATCACCATCACCATCATTACCATTATCATCATTACCATCACCATCATCAACAACAACAACTGCAACAGCACAGCCAGGGCCATTACCTGCTGGGTGACGTTATAGTTGAGCTCAAAGAGTGCATGGCCTCCATCAGGGCTTGGTCAGGTCAAGCCCAAACTGCTCAATTCATCTACTATGAAATGAGTCAAGTATTCCAGAACAGCATTATGTCTTCGTACCGTAGTGTGGGATGATTCCCCAGGCGGTGAAGGAGGCATAGAGTCCACCCAACATCCAGAACATACACAGCCAGCTAAGGTGCTCCCCTCTCTTATCCAACTGGAGGAACTCTGCAAAGTAGGTGTACACTATCGGGATAGTCCCTCCGATCCTGGTGGAACAATACAGGAGACATTACAGACACTTCAACACGGTCAATATATTCTTTAACATCAGCAGAAATGTTCAAACACTGAAATGGGGTGTGATTCCTCTTCAGGTGTCTTTTCTGCCTGTTCTGTGGATGTTGCCTTATAACCAACATGGGACTGTTCTATTTGGCTCCGGTAAAGGGTTCTGTTACGATGTGTGTCCAAATGGCACCCTATTCCCTATGTAATGCACTACTTTTGACCAGGGCCCATCGGAAGTGCACTACATAGGGCATAGGGTGCCATTTGGGACTCGGACATGACGTTACGATCTTGGTGCCTTGGCTGGGCTCAGGGCGTCTGCCAGACAGTGCTAGCCTGCAGTAATGATTATGAAAGAAGTGTGTCTTATGACCATTATGTTAAGGAGGTGAGGAGGTAGTGGTGATCACCCCATAAGGCTGACTGACCCACAAGACATCACTGCATCAGGGACTTCCTTATTCCTTTCAACACGCTCCAGGAACATTTAATTGACCGGTCAGCCAGCCAGTCACAAATACCCGTTATATCCATCTAACATCTATCTCTCATTCCCCTCTCCAGCCCCTCTCCATCTCTCTCTCAATCCCCTCTCCAGCCCCTCTCCATCTCTCTCTCTCCATCCCTCTCTCTCCATTCATCTCTCTCTCCATCCCTCTCTCTCCATCCCTCTCTCCCCATCCATCTCTCTCCATCCATCTCTCTCCATCCCTCTCTCTCCATCCATCACTCGCCATCTCTCTCTTAATCTCTTTCTCCATCTCAACGACAGTCTCATCTTACCCGAAGCCGGAGCAGATCCTGAAGAAAATGAAGAATCCGTATCCCTGAGCAAAGCAGGACAGGAAGCTGAAGACACAGTCGATGGCCAGACAGTAGATCAGACATTTCCTACGGCCCATCTTATCCGCCAGGCTACCCCAGACGAATGCCCCCACCATCATCGACACGTACACCAACAGACCTTTAACACGAGATAAAGAGGAGAGAGAAAGAATAGAGAGAGAGAGGAGAGAGACAGAGAGAGGAGAGAGAGAGAGAGAAACAGACAGACGACAGACAGGACAGACATACAGACGACAGACATACGACAGACTAGACAGAAGACAGACAGACGAGAGAGAGAGAGAGAGAGAGGATAGAAGAGATAGAGAGAGAGAAGAGAGGGAGAGAGCGAGAGCGAGAGCGAGGGAGAGGTTGAGGCGAAGAGAAGAGAGAAGAGAGAGAGGAGAGAGTGAGAGAAGAAGAGAGAGGCGAGAGAGAGAGAGAGAGAGACATCTCTCTCTCTCTCTTCTCTCTCTCTGTCTCTCTCTTTCTCTCTCCTCATTCTCTCTCTCTCTCCTCTCTCTCTCTCTCTCTCTCCCTCTCCGCTTCTCTCTCTCTCTCTCTCTCTCTCTCTCTCTCTCTCTTCTCTCGCTTCTCTCTCTCTCTCTCTCTCTCTCTCCCTCTCTCCTCTCCCTCTCTCTCTCTCTCTCTCTCTCTCTCTCTCTACTCTCTCCCTCTCTCTCTCAGCCTCTCTCTCTCTCTCTCTCTCTCTCTCGTCTCTCTCTCCTTTTCTCCTTCTTCCCTTGACATAAACCAGAGACAGACAGACAGACAGACTGACAGTATCTTATACCCCCCACCTAGTCTCATTCTCTCTCCTTCATTCTGTCCAATACTCCCAATAGTACAGTACTGAATGTTCTGCCAGACTTTACCCAGTGGCTCAAGCCCCTAGTACAGTAATGATGTTCTGCCAGACTTTACCCAGTGGCTCAAGGCCCATATTACAGTAATGATGTTCTGCCAGACTTTACCCAGTGGCTCAAGGCCCATAGTACAGTAATGATGTTCTGCCAGACTTTACCCAGTGGCTCAAGGCCCCATATACAGTAATGATGTTCTGCAGCTTTACCAAGTGCTCAAGGCCCATAGTACAGTAATGATGTTCTGCCAGACTTTACCCAGTGGCTCAAGGCCCATAGTACAGTAATGATGTTCTGCCAGACTTTACCCAGTGGCTCAAGGCCCATAGTACAGTAATGATGTTCTGCCAGACTTTACCCAGTGGCTCAAGGCCCATAGTACAGTAATGTTCTCAGACTTCTGCCAGATTTAGCTTTTCTGCCAGACTTTCCCCAGTGGCTCAAGGCCCATAGTACAGTAATGATGTTCTGCCAGACTTTACCCAGTGGCTCAAGGCCATATTACAGTAATATGTTCTGGCCAGACTTACCCAGTGGCTCAAGGCCCATAGTACAGTAATGATGTTCTGCCAGACTTTACCCAGTGGCTCAAGGCCATATCAGTATGATTTCTGCCAACTTACCCAGTGGCTCAAGGCCCATAGTACCAGTAATGATGTTCTGCCAGACTTTACCCAGTGGCTCAAGGCCCATAGTACAGTAATGATGTTCTGCCAGTCTTTACCCAGTGGCTCAAGGCCCATAGTACAGTAATGATGTTCTGCCAGACTTTACCCAGTGGCTCAAGGCCCATAGTACAGTAATGATGTTCTGCCAGACTTTACCCAGTGGCTCAAGGTCCCATAGTACAGTAATGATGTTCTGCCAGACTTTACCCAGTGGCTCAAGGCCCATAGTCCAGTAATGATGTTCTGCCAGACTTTACCCAGTGGCTCAAGGCCCATAGTACAGTAATGATGTTCTGCCAGACTTACCCAGTGGCTCAAGGCCCCATAGTACAGTAATGATGTTCTGCCCAGACTTTACCCAGTGGCTCAAGGCCATAGTACCAGTAATGATGTTTCTGCCAGACTTACCCAGTGGCTCAAGGCCCATGTACAGTAATGATGTTCTGCCAGTCTTTACCCAGTGGCTCAAGGCCCATAGTACGTAATGATGTTCTGCCAGTCTTTAACCCATGGGCTCAAGGCCCATAGTACAGTAATGATGTTCTGCCAGACTTTACCCAGTGGCTCAAGGCCCATAGTACAGTAATGATGTTCTGCCAGTCTTTACCCCAGTGGCTCAAGGCCCATAGTACAGTAATGATGTTTCTGCCAGACTTTACCCAGTGGCTCAAGGCACATAGTACAGTAATGATGTTCTGTCAGACTTTACCCCAGTGGCTCCAATGGCCCATAGTTACCCAGTATGATGTTCTGCCAGACTTTACCCAGTGGCTCAAGGCCCATAGTACAGTAATGATGTTCTGCCAGACTTTACCCAGATGCTCAAGGCCCATAGTCCAGTGGATCTCCACTCCTCCACTAGAAGGATCACTCTGATATGTTGTCCTATTGACCTGTTCTTACTTAGTTAGGATGAAGGGAAAGCCCTTATTCAAGATATCCTTACAAAAAACCTGTGAATTCCCCACAGTCACTGAAATGAAACCTGAGTTACGAAGCAATATCTATGTTATATTTTGGGGGTTTTAAGTGTGTGTGAAGTCACAGCACAGTGACATAATCTAGCTATACACAGTGACATGTCTGGGTTAAAACAACAACTTCTAAATGATTATGGAGGTATCCATTTGGATGTCAACACACTAACAAAATGATTCCTAGATGATGGTGAGTATTATAGAGATGAAAGCCTATGGATTCAGCCATCTGTTTCATTACATCATAATATACAGTACATTATAAAGGCCATGCATATTATAGACTTTTCATTATACTCCTATATCCATCACCAGGTATCGTTCAGTACTGGGCCGGCCCTCTTAAGGCCATGATACATTGGCAATATTACCGAGCAATGTTGCCGAGCAATATTACCGAGCAATATTACCGAGCAATGTTGCCGAGCAATATTACCGAGCAATGTTGACAGCAATGTTGCCAGCAATTGTTGCTGCAACTATTTTAGATTGAAAATGAGCAACTTTTTAATTTTGATTGGCAGCGCCAACATTTTTTGGAATCCTCCAATCAAATGTTGGTCGTGATCACCTCAGTCTGCCTTTCTAAAATATTTAGGAAAACATGGCGGCTATTTTTGAGCTGAAGTGAGAGAAAATCAACTCCACCACTCCCATGCCAACAACATTTCTTTCTTACCAACACTATCGGTATGTATAGGTGCTTTTAGTGACGTGGGTGTATTTACCAACACTATCGGTATGTATAGGTGCTTTTAGTAACGTGGGTGTATTTACCAACACTAGCAGTATGTATAGGTGCTTTTAGTAACGTGGGTGTATTTACCAACACTAGCAGTATGTATAGGTGCTTTTAGTGACGTGGGTGTATTTACCAACACTATCAGTATGTATAGGTGCTTTTAGTAACGTGGGTGTATTTACCAACACTAGCAGTATGTATAGGTGCTTTTAGTAACGTGGGTGTATTTACCAACACTAGCAGTATGTATAGGTGCTTTTAGTAACGTGGGTGTATTTACCAACACTAGCAGTATGTATAGGTGCTTTTAGTAACGTGGGTGTATTTACCAACACTAGCAGTATGTATAGGTGCTTTTAGTAACGTGGGTGTATTTACCAACACTAGCAGTATGTATAGGTGCTTTTAGTAACGTGGGTGTATTTACCAACACTAGCAGTATGTATCGGTGCTTTTAGTAACGTGGGTGTATTTACCAACACTAGCAGTATGTATAGGTGCTTTTAGTAACGTGGGTGTATTTACCAACACTAGCAGTATGTATAGGTGCTTTTAGTAACGTGGGTGTATTTACCAACACTATCAGTATGTATAGGTGCTTTTAGTAACGTGGGTGTATTTACCAACACTAGCAGTATGTATAGGTGCTTTTAGTAACGTGGGTGTATTTACCAACACTAGCGGTATGTATAGGTGCTTTTAGTAACGTGGGTGTATTTACCAACACTAGCAGTATGTATAGGTGCTTTTAGTAACGTGGGTGTATTTACCAACACTATCAGTATGTATAGGTGCTTTTAGTGACGTGGGTGTATTTACCAACACTAGCAGTATGTATAGGTGCTTTTAGTGACGTGGGTGTATTTACCAACACTAGCAGTATGTATAGGTGCTTTTAGTAACGTGGGTGTATTTACCAACACTATCAGTATGTATAGGTGCTTTTAGTAACGTGGGTGTATTTACCAACACTAGCAGTATGTATAGGTGCTTTTAGTAACGTGGGTGTATTTACCAACACTAGCAGTATGTATAGGTGCTTTTAGTAACGTGGGTGTATTTACCAACACTATCAGTATGTATAGGTGCTTTTAGTAACGTGGGTGTATTTACCAACACTAGCAGTATGTATAGGTGCTTTTAGTAACGTGGGTGTATTTACCAACACTAGCAGTATGTATAGGTGCTTTTAGTAACGTGGGTGTATTTACCAACACTAGCAGTATGTATAGGTGCTTTTAGTAACGTGGGTGTATTTACCAACACTAGCAGTATGTATAGGTGCTTTTAGTAACGTGGGTGTGTTTACCAACACTAGCAGTATGTATAGGTGCTTTTAGTAACGTGGGTGTATTTACCAACACTAGCGGTATGTATAGGTGCTTTTAGTAACGTGGGTGTATTTACCAACACTAGCGGTATGTATAGGTGCTTTTATTAACGTGGGTGTATTTACCAACACTAGCAGTATGTATAGGTGCTTTTAGTAACGTGGGAGTATTTACCAACACTAGCAGTATGTATAGGTGCTTTTAGTAACGTGGGAGTATTTACCAACACTAGCAGTATGTATAGGTGCTTTTAGTAACGTGGGTGTATTTACCAACACTATCAGTATGTATAGGTGCTTTTAGTAACGTGGGTGTTTACCAACACTAGCAGTATGTATAGGTGCTTTTAGTAACGTGGGTGTATTTACCAACACTAGCAGTATGTATAGGTGCTTTTAGTAACGTGGGTGTATTTACCAACACTAGCAGTATGTATAGGTGCTTTTAGTAACGTGGGTGTATTTACCAACACTAGCAGTATGTATAGGTGCTTTTAGTAACGTGGGTGTATTTACCAACACTAGCAGTATGTATAGGTGCTTTTAGTAACGTGGGTGTATTTACCAACACTAGCAGTATGTATAGGTGCTTTTAGTAACGTGGGTGTTTACCAACACTAGCAGTATGTATAGGTGCTTTTAGTAACGTGGGTGTATTTACCAACACTAGCAGTATGTATAGGTGCTTTTAGTAACGTGGGTGTATTTACCAACACTAGCAGTATGTATAGGTGCTTTTAGTAACGTGGGTGTATTTACCAACACTAGCAGTATGTATAGGTGCTTTTAGTGACGTGGGTGTATTTACCAACACTAGCAGTATGTATAGGTGCTTTTAGTAACGTGGGTGTATTTACCAACACTAGCAGTATGTATAGGTGATTTTAGTAACGTGGGTGTATTTACCAACACTAGCAGTATGTATAGGTGCTTTTAGTAACGTGGGTGTTTACCAACACTAGCAGTATGTATAGGTGCTTTTAGTAACGTGGGTGTATTTACCAACACTAGCAGTATGTATAGGTGCTTTTAGTAACATGGGTGTTTACCAACACTAGCAGTATGTATAGGCACTTTTAGTAACGTGGGTGTATTTACCAACACTAGCAGTATGTATAGGTGCTTTTAGTAACGTGGGTGTTTACCAACACTAGCAGTATGTATAGGTGCTTTTAGTAACGTGGGTGTATTTACCAACACTAGCAGTATGTATAGGTGCTTTTAGTAACGTGGGTGTATTTACCAACCCTAGCAGTATGTATAGGTGCTTTTAGTAACGTGGGTGTATTTACCCACACTAGCAGTATGTATAGGTGCTTTTAGTAACGTGGGTGTATTTACCAACACTAGCAGTATGTATAGGCGCTTTTAGTAACGTGGGTGTATTTACCAACACTAGCAGTATGTATAGGTGCTTTTAGTAACGTGGGTGTATTTACCAACACTAGCAGTATGTATAGGTGCTTTTAGTAACGTGGGTGTATTTACCCACACTAGCAGTATGTATAGGCGCTTTTAGTAACGTGGGTGTATTTACCAACCCTAGCAGTATGTATAGGTGCTTTTAGTGACGTGGGTGTATTTACCAACACTAGCAGTATGTATAGGCGCTTTTAGTAACGTGGGTGTATTTACCAACACTAGCAGTATGTATAGGTGCTTTTAGTAACGTGGGTGTATTTACCCACACTAGCAGTATGTATAGGTGCTTTTAGTAACGTGGGTGTATTTACCAACACTAGCAGTATGTATAGGTGCTTTTAGTAACGTGGGTGTATTTACCAACACTAGCAGTATGTATAGGTGCTTTTAGTAACGTGGGTGTATTTACCAACACTAGCAGTATGTATAGGTGCTTTTAGTAACGTGGGTGTATTTACCAACACTAGCAGTATGTATAGGTGCTTTTAGTAACGTGGGTGTATTTACCAACACTAGCAGTATGTATAGGTGCTTTTAGTAACGTGGGTGTATTTACCAACACTAGCAGTATGTATAGGTGCTTTTAGTAACGTGGGTGTATTTACCAACACTAGCAGTATGTATAGGTGCTTTTAGTAACGTGGGTGTATTTACCAACCCTAGCAGTATGTATAGGTGCTTTTAGTAACGTGGGTGTATTTACCAACACTAGCAGTATGTATAGGTGCTTTTAGTAACGTGGGTGTATTTACCAACACTAGCGTTGCTGTCGATTGTATTGGGTTGCACAAAAACAGTCCGTGGGAAGCCAGAAGTGAAATATAATTATATTTTATCTCTGGCGGTGGGCAGAGCGGTTGGTCATTATGACGGGGGTATTTGAGACAAAATATCTAAAGGATCGTATTATTAAACAGACGTTCCAAACGTGGGCCTGCTGTAGACCCACTTCCTCTCTGCTTACCTCATGTCAAAATAAAAGTCCCCCACAACGTATTCCTTTTTTTGTGCACACATATGGCGCACATGCAGGACTTTTATTTTGACATGAGGTAAGCAGAGAGGAAGTTTAATAATACGATCCTTTAGATATTTTGTCTCAAATTCCTATAATAACCAACTGCTCTGCCCACCACCAGAGGCACAGGGAGTTGACATTTAATTGTATTTCTCTTCTGGCTTCCCACTGACTGTTTTTTGTGCAACCCAATCCGATTGAAAGCAGCGCTAGTGTATTTCAATAGACCTGGTTGCTAGAAGCAGCTACAGTAAATGTATCTCAGTCCTCCAATGTCCTGGGTTTATACTACAGCCCTAATTACAGTGGAGTAAGCAGCTTAGTTTAGACTAGAGGCGTGTGTTGCTGTGGTGTGCTGTCAGTGCACCTCCCTGTGGATTAGTATCCTTCGAAACGCTACCCGCTCCAAACGTTATGTCCTTTGTACCAGGCCTCAGGCATCACAGTTAGCCTTCAACCAGGTCACAGCCCAGTCACAGCTGGTGAGGGCCTGGGGGTGAGGAACACAATGAATGGATGTGTTCTGTTGTCAGGGTCTTGTGAACTCAGTTGGAGGGCCTGGGGGTGAGGAACACAATGAATGGATGTGTTCTGTTGTCAGGGTCTTGTGAACTCAGTTGGAGGGCCTGGGGGTGAGGAACACAATGAATGGATGTGTTCTGTTGTCAGGGTCTTGTGAACTCAGTTGGAGGGCCTGGGGGTGAGGAACACAATGAATGGATGTGTTCTGTTGTCAGGGTCTTGTGAACTCAGTTGGAGGGCCTGGGGGTGAGGAACACAATGAATGGATGTGTTCTGTTGTCAGGGTCTTGTGAACTCAGTTGGAGGGCCTGGGGGTGAGGAACACAATGAATGGATGTGTTCTGTTGTCAGGGTCTTGTGAACTCAGTTGGAGGGCCTGGGGGTGAGAAACACAATGAATGGATGTGTTCTGTTGTCGGGGTCTTGTGAACTCAGTTGGAGGGCCTGGGGGTGAGGAACACAATGAATGGATGTGTTCTGTTGTCAGGGTCTTGTGAACTCAGTTGGAGGGCCTGGGGGTGAGAAACACAATGAATGGATGTGTTCTGTTGTCGGGGTCTTGTGAACTCAGTTGGAGGGCCTGGGGGTGAGAAACACAATGAATGGATGTGTTCTGTTGTCGGGGTCTTGTGAACTCAGTTGGAGGGCCTGGGGGTGAGAAACACAATGAATGGATGTGTTCTGTTGTCGGGGTCTTGTGAACCCAGCTGTCAGGACTACTTCCCTGCAACAGGGGAAACATATGGGCTACAGAAGCAGCAGCAGGTTGGTTTTGGACTAAAAAAGGTTGCAACACAATAATGTCATGTGATAACATCCCCAATGCTATAAAACGTTTTGGGTGATGGCATCATACCTGATAACTGTAGACTAATATGGCAAGCAGACAACATGGAATGGCTTCACTTCACAGTGTTCCGTGTGTTCTGTTAAAACAGGGTGCAGCGTTACATTACATTTTAGTCATTTAGCAGACGCTCTTATCCAGAGCAATTAGGGTTAAGTACCTTGCTCAAGGGCACATCGACAGACTTTTCACCTAGTCAGCTCGGGGATTAGAACCAGCGACTTTTCCGTTACTGGCACAACGCTCTTAACCACTAAGCTACCCGCGTCGGTGCTTTGACAGGCCAGTGTTATGAGCTATAGCTATAGCTGGATCCCCAAGGTATTAAACAGATATCTGCCTCTTGAGTCAAAGCTCATTTTGCTGAAGATCAAGAAAAACGGAGGCTTTGATCATTTTAGAGCCAGGTAGGCCTACTTTTCCTTTGTGCAAGCAGATATTGTCTTCATTTTAGTCAGGCCTTAGGCGTCTTCATTGGTGTCAGAGACAGAAGGACCCCATGGTGTTTGACTGACAGCTACATGCTCAACACTACAGGGCAGACTCTCTGATTGGCAGAACACAGGCCGAACACAGGCCTTCTTCAGCATGTTAACAGAAGCCAGGTGAGTTGACTACCAGGTGGACCATTAGTCTGTCTCGCTGTCACTGCTCACTCCAGCAGGATGCTGTAATCATTCTGTTGTGATGCTGTGATATTGGCAGTAAATAGCTGCCACATTATCCAATGATATACTTACTGTATGATGGAAGCAGCCAGCAGTCCGTCCAATATAGTGTATTTATTATTATGTAGAGACTATCTTAAACAGTTCAGAAGAACCATTCTCAGAAAGTGTTCCATAACACCAGGTTTTATTGAACCGCCCCCAAAGCTACCGAACTTTGACCTGTGACTTACCCAGCATGCCCTTGTTGGCGTTGGATAAGCACATGTCCTTCTCAGCGCTAGGCAACACGAAGCCCACCACAAATCCGTCCACGCCATCTGCCATCAGCGCCATGCCCAGCACGATAAACAGGGTCCACTGGAAGCGGCCGTGCCCACAGTCCTCCATGATGTTCTCATACTGTTCTGCCAGGTCCTCCTCCTCCGGCATCGCCGCTGCCAGCCTGGCCTTCTTCCTGGCCTCAGCCCTGGCCGCCCGCTGGGCCGCCTTGATCTCGTCAGGGTGGGGGATCCCCTGGTACTCTCCTTCGTACATGGCCTCTGCGTCCTCATCGTGACCCTCCGTGGCATCACTCCTAGCGTCCTCGTCCCCCTCTCCCTCCTGTTTGGGGAAGTCAGCCTGGTAGGGGTACTCCTGGCCGCCCCCCTCCCCGTAGGTGGGGATCTCAGTGCCCTGCTGGTTCACGTTGTTCTGCCATGGGTCGTCCATGGTTACTGCTGGAGAGGGACTATGTTAGCACCGCTAGAGTCGCTGTCTGCCGGAGATGCTGAGGGTGGCTAAACTGGCATAATCCTTGGCAGGGACTCTGTCTTGCTCTCAGTGACCTCTGATCCTTTACTCCAGAGAACTGAAACTGTCAGTTTTGTTATTAATGGACTTTGCTTGGTGGTTCCTCTGCGGAACGGTCTGTAGTTGTCAAGCTTCTGCTACAGTGTTAGATAAGGCCTCGGTAGCTGTGGTGGCAGGACTCTATCTCTGGTGACAGGGCTCAATCTCTGGTGACAGGGCTCTATCTCTGGTGACAGGACTCTATCTCTGGTGACAGGACTCTATCTCTGGTGACAGGACTCTATCTCTGGTGACAAGACTCTATCTCTGGTAACAGGACTCTATCTCCGGTGACAGGACTCTATCTCTGGTGACAGGGCTCAATCTCTGGTGACAGGACTCTATCTCTGGTGACAGGGCTCTATCTCTGGTGACAGGACTCTATCTCTGGTGACAGGACTCTATCTCTGGTGACAGGACTCTATCTCTGGTGACAGGACTCTATCTCTGGTGACAGGTCTCAATCTCTCTCCTGGTAAACAGATGTGCAAGGCCTCGTGCTGGACCTGGAAGAGAGAAAACATAATTTCTAAGTCATGACAAAGGCAAACATCAAATCTTATCAATTATGCCTCAGCATGACTAGAGAAAAGTGGTTGAACACTTCATGCTAATTGAACATCATACACCAGATAGACCTGTGCAGTAGGGGAGACCGGGGTTGGTTGGTATTTCATTTCGACATGAAGAGAAAGTCCAAGGTGTTGGAATGGGACCCTTTCATCCTCATATCTCATTCCAACATGGAGTTATGAGCCGTCAAACACTCTGTCCACTTGAGACAACCAGCCCCACAGCGGAGTTGGAAGTCACGCAGTGTGGGTTGGTTGGCACAGTGTTTACATTAGTTTCCCACCAATAATCGAACCGACTTCTGAAGTTTTAGAAAAACTAAAGCCTTTATTTGATTGAACAGTTTATCTATTAAAATTCAACATAGTATTTGAGATTTTAGCTCTTACTCCATTCAAATGAACATATGACCTCAATGACCTGGACTAACCTGTACCCCGCACATTGACTCGGTACCGGTACCCCCTGTATATAGCCTCCTTATTGGTATTTTATTGGGTTACTTTTTATATATATATTTTTGGTATTTATATATTTTTAGCAAAATGTTGTTACTTACTTACAAAATAACTCTGTTGGTTAAGGGCTAAGGGTTAAGGTTAAAGGTTAAGGGATAAGGGCTTGTAAGAAAACATTTCACGGTAAGGTCTACGCAGCGTTCATTGGAAATGAATGTGCTTCTGGTGTACCAAAACGCAATGTTGCTGTCGGTGTGATCGAGTCGTCAGTCGGGGTCGCATGACTCACAGTTTTTGACATGCAGGTCCAGACTGGACCAAATCTGAACCATTCATAGACGTCTATGTTTCACAAGTTTGGACAGCACAGTAAACAGCAGAGAACAGTAGAGGACAGTTCAGTACAGTAGGGATGGGTAAGGGGATATTTAGTCAGTTGTACAACTGAAAGCATTCAAATGAAATGTGTCTTCCACATTCAACCCAACCCCTCTGAATCAGAGAGGTGCGGGGGGCTGCCTTAATCGATGTCCATGTCATCGGCGCCTGGGAGTACAGTGCAGTAAAGAAAAGTAAAGTATGGTACAGTATAGTACTGCTCCTTCAGTATGCTGAGCCCTGTCTTGTCTGTGACACAATTTTGATCTCATATGAAACAGTGATATAGAAAATACTGTGTGGTCACTGGATAGATGACGTGTGTTCTCTGATTGAACCAGAAGTCTACTTCCTCCTGTTCTGTAACACTGACAGAGAGTACAGGAGTCTTTGGCCTTCTCCTTAAAGGTGTCCACTACTCTGAGCCTAGCCACTGTCTGTCTGTCTGTCTGTCTGTCTGTCTGTCTGTCTGTCTGTCTGTCTGTCTGTCTGTCTGTCTGTCTGTCTGTCTGTCTGTCTGTCTGTCTGTCTGTCTGTCTGTCTGTCTGTCTGTCTGTCTGTCTGTCTGTCTGTCTGTCTGTCTGTCTGTCTGTCTGTCTGTCTGTCTGTCTGTCTGTCTGTCTGTCTGTCTGTCTGTCTGTCTGTCTGTCTGTCTGTCTGTCTGTCTGTATGACCCAGCAGGTTTCTTTATGGCTCACTGGATCACTGTCACTCCCTAGCCTGTCTGTCACTCCCTAGCCTGTCTGTCACTCCCTAGCCTGTCTGTCACTCCCTAGCCTGTCTGTCACTCCCTAGCCTGTCTGTCACAAAGGCACACAGAGAGCACAGAGAGGGAGTGGGCGTAAAGCCGGAGTAGTTCCTGTGTGTACTAGTTGAAACCGGTAGCAAGCCTCTCTGTGTGTGTCCTCATGACAGATGAGAGCTGCAATTTAATCCAGATTAAGACTGCAGAAATGTCATTCTGCCGTCCCTGGCCTGTATCCACCTCTCCACCACTAAACTTCCCCTGTGTCCTGTATCCACCACTAAAATTCCCCTGTGTCCTGTATCCACCACTCCACCACTAGACTTCACCTGTTTCCTGTATCCACCACTAGACTTCCCCTGTGTCCTGTATCCACCACTAGACTTCCCCTGTGTCCTGTATCCACCACTAGACTTCCCCTGTGTCCTGTATCCACCACTAGACTTCCCCTGTGTCCTGTATCCTCCACTAGACTTCCCCTGTGTCCTGTATCCACCTCTCCACCACTAGACTTCCCCTGTGTCCTGTATCCACCACTAGACTTCCCCTGTGTCCTGTATCCACCTCTCCACCACTAGACTTCCCCTGTGTCCTGTATCCACCACTAGACTTCCCCTGTGTCCTGTATCCACCACTCCACCACTAGACTTCCCCTGTGTCCTGTATCCACCACTAGACATCCCCTGAGTCCTGTATCCACCTCTCCACCACTAGACATCCCCTGAGTCCTGTATCCACCTCTCCACCACTAGACTTCCCCTGTTCCCTGTATCCACCACTAGACTTCCCCTATGTACTGGGGCGGCAGGTAGCTTAGTGGTTAAGAGCGTTGTGCCAGTAACCGAAAGGTTGCTGGTTTTAATCCCCGAGCCGACTAGGTGAAAAATCTGCCGATATGCCCTTGAGCAAGGCACTTAACCCTAATTGCTCTGGATAAGAGCGTCTGCTAAATGACTAAAATGTAAAAATTTACTGTATCCACCTCTCCACCTGTAGACTTCCCTCTGTTCCCTTTATCGTCCACTAGACTTCCCCTGTGTCCTGTATCTACCTCTCCACCACTAGACTTCCCCTGTGTCCTGTATCCACCACTAGACATCCCCTGTGGCCTGTATCCACCTTTCCACTTCTAGACTTCACCTGTGTCCTGTATCCACCACTAGACTTCCCCTGTTTCCTACATCCACCTCTCCACCACTAGACTTCCCCTGTTCCTTGTATCCACCACTAGACTTCCCCTGTGTCCTGTATCCACCTCTCCACCACTAGACTTCCCCTGTGTCCTGTATCCACCTCTAGACTTCCCCTGTTCCCTGTATCCACCACTAGACTTCCCCTGTGTACTGGGGCGGCAGGTAGCTTAGTGGTTAAGAGCGTTGTGCCAGTAACCGAAAGGTCGCTGGTTCTAATCCCAGAGCCGACTAGGTGAAAAATCTGCCGATATGCCCTTGAGCAAGACACTTAACCCTAATTGCTCTGGATAAGAGCGTCTGCTAAATGACTAAAATGTAAAAATGTACTGTATCCACCTCTCCACCTGTAGACTTCCCTCTGTTTTCTGTGTCCACCTCTCCACCTCTAGACTTCCCCTGTTCCCTTTATCGTCCACTAGACTTCCCCTGTGTCCACCTCTCCACCACTAAACTTCCCCTGTACCTGTATCCACTACTAGACTTCCCCTGTGTCCTGTATCCACCTCCCCACCGCTAGAATTCCCCTGTGTTCTGTATCCACCACTAAACTTCCCCTGTACCTGTATCCACTACTAGACTTCCCCTGTGTCCTGTATCCACCTCCCCACCGCTAGAATTCCCCTGTGTTCTGTATCCACCTCTAGACTTCCCCTGTTTCCTATATCCACCTTTCCACCACTGGACTTCACCTGTTCCCTGTATCCACCACTAGACTTCCCCTGTTCCCTGTATCCACCACTAGACGTCCCCTGTTCCCTGTATCCACCAATAGACTTCCCCTGTTTCATATATACACCTTTCCACCACTGGACGTTCCCTGTATCCACCACTGGACTTCACCTGTCCCCTGTATCCACCACTAGACTTCCCCTGTTCCCTGTATCCACCACTAGACTTCCCCTGTGTCCTGTGTCCACCTCTCCACCACTAGACTTCCCTCTGTTTTCTGTATCCACCTCTCCACCACTAGACTTCCCTCTGTTTTCTGTATCCACCTCTCCACCACTAGACTTCCCCTGTGTTCTGTATCCACTTTTCCACTTCTAGACTTCCCCTGTGTCCCGTATCCACCTCTCCACTGCTAGACTTCCCCTGTATCCTGTATCCACCACTAGACTTCCCCTGTGTCCTTTATCCAGCTCTCCAACGCTAGACTTCCCCTGTGTCCTGTATCCAGCACTAGACTTCCCCTGTTCCCTGTATCCACCACTAGACATCCCCTGTTCCCTGTATCCACCAATAGACTTCCCCTGTTTCCTATATCCACCTTTCCACCACTGGACGTTCCCTGTATCCACCACTGGACTTCACCTGTCCCCTGTATCCACCACTAGACTTCCCCTGTTCCCTGTATCCACCACTAGACTTCCCCTGTGTCCTGTGTCCACCTCTCCACCACTAGACTTCCCTCTGTTTTCTGTATCCACCTCTCCACCACTAGACTTCCCTCTGTTTTCTGTATCCACCTCTCCACCACTAGACTTCCCCTGTGTCCTGTATCCTCCACAATACTTCCCCTGTGCCCTGTATCCA